CTATAGACAAAATCTTTTTTCCGGATTCTTAATCACGGCTGATTATATGGGGAATGTTGTAGTGTGATATAAGTCTGGGATCTCACTCACGAGAATCGATTGTTTTTGCAAAACAACTTCGTTCGTTTATAAGATGAAAAAAAGACGAAGAAAAAGTTTTTTAAACGGCTGTTGTTGTAAAACCTGCAACTGGAATGTGTGTTTGGAAATCAGGTATGTTCAATCACATGTATTTTTGTCAAGTTCCACCAGATGAAGCGCCATAAATTGATAAAAACAGCAAGTTTTTTTTTTCAAGCGATAGTTTGTTGTCGCAGTTTTAAAAGCGCGGAAAATTTTTAACTTTTAAATATTTCATGCACAATATATGAAAACTAGTTTTATTTTGATGTTTTGTATAATTTAAGTACCTAGTTTTCTGAAAATCACCAAATGAGAATGGGCTTTTTTAATTTTTAAACATTTTTTTGGCCTTGTTTTTGACATGTGCATGCCAAATCTACACATGAAATAGACTGAGCTGACATGCTGAAATTTAAGGCTAAAAAAATATGTTTCGACGAAAAAGTCTGTCTTCTTTTGATAAATTTCTGATATATTATGACTCGATTTCAGTTTGTACAATTTTTTAGGGGATGTTTCACACCTATAAAAAAAACTACATGCAAAAATACAATTTTTCCGCAGTTCTTTTTCAAAACGTAAACATGGCCGTATTCTCTCGGCAGTTTGTCGAGCTGACATGTTGGAGTTCAAGGCTAAAAAAATATGTTTCGACGAAAAAGTCTGTCTTCTTTTAAAAAATTTCTGATATATTATGACTTGATTTCAGTTTGTACGATTTTTTAGGGGATGTTTCACACCTAGGAAAAAAACTACATGCAAAAATACAATTTTTCCGCGGTTCTTTTTCAAAACGTAAACATGGCCTCTAAAATGGCCGTATACGCTGTACTTTATCGAGCTGACATGATCTATATATTGTTTTTGAAACTAATTGTTTTTGAACTAATTATGTCTTTGACGGCTTGGGGAATGTTATTTGTATCTAAAATCAAATATCGTGTTAACTTGCGTTGCTTCTCCTTGCGATACAAATGATGAACAGCACTATGTTCAGGGAAAAAGTTATAGCAAAAAAAGTCCGACTCTTAATTTTAATTATTCTCAAGTATGTTAATTTGGGAAACTTTTTGTGCTATCAAATTCACCTAGGACTACCTAGAGCGTTAAAAAACTCGTATTTTAACCTGACTTTGTGCGCAAAAATAACAAATTTTGAAGGGAACAAAAATCAAAACATTTCTTAAAACATTGACATTTTACAACGCAATGCGCTTTTTGTTTATTTTAATTAAGTAAAGCTGAAGTATAGTAGTGTTTCTTTCAAATTACGTTAAATAATTATGTAATAATTTAAAACTTACCTATATTTTCGTTTGTTATTTCGTAGTCTTCGGCAAATCTTTTTGTTGCCATTTTTGTGCCGTTCTTTTTGTATTTCTCGCAAAACGCGCGCTTTCGCCAGTCTCCAGCCGCATCACACATAGATCAGCGCGATTACCGCGCGTTTCCTCGCCCGTGTTTTTCTACGCCTTGGTTGAATTCATTTCAATACGCTGCTTTCTGGTGTTATTATCAGTACCAACGCAGTGGCGTAGCCAGCCCGACAATTTAGTCCCGCTATGCAAATTCAAAATTATTATCATTATTCATTTTTTTAGAAATTGATTCTTTTCACAGTCAATGAACACGAAAATCTTGATTTGCATAGCGGGACTAAAACATCGGGCGCCCGCTACTGCCAACGCTAACACAGACCGGTTCTAGGCCTGTTTTATACACATTCAATTCAATATAAAATGTTCATTCAATGTAATAATTTGTGTGTGTGTGTATATATATATTTAATTTAATCCTTTAATTTAATATACATTCAATAAAAAATGTTTAAAAATCCAATTGTCAACTTAGATACAACTGTGAAATGGTTAGGGCAGTTGATGCGCATTGTTCTGACCAGGATAAGCGTTTGTTAGAGCAGGGATTTGCAGTCCGTTTTTCTTAAACTTTATCAAAGACTCTGGAGATATCAACTAAGGTTACAATCTACATATCCCTCAGCTTTTCCCGTTTAAATTGCTCAAACTGGAGGACTGGGGGGGGCTGTCCTATGCCATTCCGCTTTATAACAAACGTACTTGCAGGTTCGGTGAGTCCGGGATTGGACGCACCGAGGGTGGCTGGAAGTTTCCCGAACTTACCGAGCGAAGCGAGGTGAGTTCGGGAAACTTCCAGCCACCCGAG